GTACCCTTTAGAAACTGGCAGAAGACAGCTTGTCAGGAGAAAAGACGGCTGCAGGATCAGTGGGGAAGGGTCCTGTATGTCCGCCTTGTTGCCGTCCAACTGATCGACGCAGTAGTCGCGATGCTTGACCTAACTCAGTATGCATGTTGCGTGACTTTGCATAAGCTGAAGCCTGCCTCATTCTTCTGCTCTTTCTCCAATGAAGCGGTCATGTTCTCGATGGCCTTGAGAGCGCGAGCAGAGCGCTTAAAAGATTTTATTCAGTCGGGAGTGGTTTGGCATCTTTCAAAATATGTGGTCGCGCACGACAAACTCAACACCGTTCACCTTCACACCATCTCAGACCCTTCATCGGAGCCTGAACTATCAGACGTTGAACGCAACAGAATGTTTTGAGCATCACTTTCTCGTCGAAATGTGTCGAAATCCACGCCCCAGCCTTCTTGACAGCTGCAAAGGTGTCGATCTTGACTCGGAGTGCTAAAGTTACCAGGCGAAGGTCATGCTGCTGGCCAACCTGGCAGGCGTTTTCCATTCCGAGTGTGAGCTCAGGCTTGCTCTCACGCGTATACTCTCCTTTCACTCCCTCGCCAAAGTGCTCGCCTTCAGTAGGGCCTCCGAAAGCCTTTGCCGCTTCCGCGAGACAGCGTGCTCCTGTGGAATGTTCAACAGTTACTGTAGAAGAACGCTTACACGGAGAGTCAGGAGCCTGCAAGAAGGAGCTGAAAGAGCCGGGGCTGAAGTGGCCCCAGAACCCCTTGGACTTGGCTTTCGGACCCTTTGGCTCCTGGCACGATCTTGCACGTCTTGGACTGCTACGTGACTCATGTGAGAGGGAGGCATACCCTCTCTTGAACTTTTTGTTAGCATCACTTTTGGCTTATGTGAGCGGCATGTCTGCCAGCTCAGCCTTTTTTCACAAGGGACTCGACTGCTGCCCTTTCTGCCCGCCTGCCAGCTCAGCCTAAATGCACTAACACATGTCTGAAATCTGGTCTCTTAATTCGTCCGAGGTGGTTACTCAGAGTTGCATTGACTGCAGGCAGCCGACGTGTCAACAAAGACAGGTGGAGTCTGGCTTGCTCCGTAAAGTCGTTTGCTGCAGCCAGCTGCTGATGCTTGCACATGACGCCTGCGCATCGGAATCCCGAGCAGCTTTCAGTCCTGCAAGAAAGCCTCTTTCACAGCCTCCTCTTTGAGGATATCCATTGCTTGGACAATAGCCGCCACCTCCTCTCCCCGAGTCTTCTGGCGCTGCTCCCACTCCTTGCATGCTGGCAACTGGCATGAGATGGTACATGTCTCATGCCTGGCACAAGCGCATTCCTACAATCTCCCGAACTCTCGGTCGACGCACCTTTTCCCCCAAGTTCCCACCTCGTCCATCGCCTTGCACCTCGCCCTCACATCTGTCAGAAACCTGCAGACACAGACAGAGAGACACACACACACACACACACACACACCCACAAACCCCCACACACCCCCACACCCCCACACCCCCACCCACCCCCACCCACCCCCACCCACCCACACCCACACCCCCACGCACACCCACACGCACACCCACACGCACACGCCCGCCCGCCCGCACGTACGCACCCACCCACACACACTCACAGAGACAGCCGGCTGCCGCACGCTGTCGCTAGCCGGCATAGGGCAGGAAAGCAAGCTACGAGGCGGCTTGAGACATAACGTCGGCGCTACTTGTCAGGCTGAGGCCACTGCGTTGAATCCTCTTGAACCTGGACTTCAAGATTTGTTATGACCTGAAAGCATCATGTCCACAACGCACACAGCGCACAAAACGCACACACAACATCCCAACCAGTGCATTGCTTGAGCCTGAGGTGTTTGCATCCTTGTTGCTGGCCTTTGTCTCTCCAGCATCGGCAATCGCCTTGCGCCTGCCTTGCTTCTGCTCCTCAAGTGCCTGCAAGAGCAAAGTTCTGAGCAAAGTTCAGTCAGTCTCCCGTCAGTCTGCAAGTGCCCCAAGGGCCATTGCTTTCGTCGCCTTGACCTCCGTTGTTTTGTCCTGCAGCAGCCTCTCATGTGACCGTACACGGCCAGACTCCTCAGGCGACATAGTCGCACACAATTCTGCAAATGACTCTGTAACCGATCTTTCTCCTGCCCGCGCGTTGCAGCCAACGTGGTAGCGGTGTCATTCTTGATGCCGTTCAAGACAGCTTCCACTCCCTGCACGGGAGTGCACATCTACCACTCTTGAACTCATGGTTGAGTCGCTGGCCTCAGCCTTTAGCGGTTCACGCCTTGAGGGCATGATGGCAAGTGAGGCAAGTGGACATATTGCTTTGTGAACGCGGATGACTTGCGGATCCCTAGCCCGGCACTGTAAGAAAGACCTTCCAGTTGATGAGAGGTTCATGTTGAGAAAGGCGTCTACGTTCGAAGAACGCGACACCTCGCCGTCCATCTTGGCTCGAAGCACCTGTCATCTGCCACCACTGCACATTCCAACTTACCGTGGCTTGCCACGCTTCTTTCCTCATGCCTGCTGGTACTTTGAAAGCAAGCTTCCGGCCTGAGACAGCAAGAACCATTTCAACTCAAGGAATGCACGCAGCATACTAAGCGACTAAGCTACTCGCTGCTTCATTGTTGTCTGCCTCATGCCGCGCGTGTGCACGGCAACATGGGTCGGGCAAGATGCCAACTGCGCGGTGGAAATGTGGCACAAAGCTCAGGCACAAGCGACTTGCTTGAAAGCCTCATCAATCTCGCCTGATGTGCAAGCATTTTGGTCGACTGGTTGTAAAGAAGCAAGCAACTTGCCAAGGTGCTGATGAGGCCCACGAGTCGTGCCTCTTCCCTGAGAATTTGAGCCAGCGCAGTAGAGACCGCATCCTGACGGCCTCACTCATCGCTTCTGAGGCCAGCGCTTTTCAAAGGCCTCCCGCTGGCCACTGCGCATCTTTTCTGCAGATGCCATAGTGGCCTGTCGGTAGACCCCTCCGCCAGGGGTCAGGGGCACTGCAACCACGAGGTAAACTAAAATCCAAACACCGCAACAAACCCATCAGTCACACCTCTAGGCATGTTCAGAAGACACAAGAAAAGTATACTACACCCTGTTGGCCCCACCAGTCATTGTGCTTCATGTTCTTCGCTGAACGGCAGATGTGCAGCTGGGCAGCCTGTGAGGGCATCCTGATGTGATGCGACGTATTCAACATAATGTGCTTCTACCGCCTTTCCGGCACATACTCCAAAACACCCCTTCACACCCCTTCCACTGGCTCTTTCCGCGGAGTCTAGCGGCTTAGGCCATCGTTAATGGGTTGTGGAAAGGGCTGAGTTTCAGCGGCAGAGCCGCGCATATGGCAAAAACCGGCATTTAGGTTCCAGAAAGCCAACAGCACGGGCCCTGCTCAGTCGCAGAAGGCACCACGCACAGCATGTCTATGAAAGAACACCATTGTTCCTCTTTGCCAGCCTCTGCGTCGGCAATGTCCTGGGAAGTAAATTTGGAAGGGAGAAGCGAGGAGAAGTGAGGAGAAGCGAGGAGAAGCGGTTCTTTCGAACGGGCCTTGGTCATCTGCTCCGACTCCGTGGTCCAGCGTGCGCTGTTAGCTGTGAGCCTCCCAAGTCACAAGTAGATGTGCTTGAAGAGTGCTTGAACTGTAAGTTCTGCATAGTTCTGCTCCCATCCTCTTGTTGGTGCTGGTCAAGGCGGCAATCCGGGTCTGGCTGGTTGAAACCTTATTTGGCCAGTGATTGCCAGAATCCACTCATCTTTCATCACATGCAGCGGACCGAGGATTCCTTGGCATTGATGTTGGAATTGCACCAGCAAGCCTCGTGCTCAAGGCGTTTCTCGGGCCACAAGGGAGTATCAGTGACATTCTGAGATGGCCTGCTTGTCATGTACGGCTTCATCCCTCTCGGCATCTTTGGCCATCTCCTCCTGCATCGCCTGCAGGAGCGACCTCACCTGCCACAAGAGAGTAAACATCAGGACGGACATGCGATTTGCGCTAATTCCTTACACTTCCATCCCCAAGCCTTTTGCACCGGTGCTCGCGCCGATGTCTGGAAAGTGAGCGCATCCACGGAGTGGATGAGGAGCACTGCTCCAAGCAATTTCAGCACGGGCTTCATGTCTTCATTCAGCTGGTGCCTCTGGAGGCTCTGAGCCGAAATTTCCGTGCAGGCAAGTCAAGTGCAAGCAAAGCAAAGCAAAGCAAAGCAAAGCAAAGCAAAGCAAAGCAAAGCAAAGCAAAGCAAGCAAAGGCGCCCGTTCTCTTCCCCAACGTGTGCTGGCGCCTCTTGTGTTGCGCCTGTGTTCTTCCCCAAAGTATGCTCTTGCTCAGTAAGCGTGCATGTGTGCGTGCGCGTGTGCGCGCGTAGAAGCCCAAACCCTGGACACCCTAAACCTCAAAAACCCTAAACCCTGACAACCCCAACCCACAGAAACCCCAAACCCTGCCCTTTTGCAACAGCCTAGCCGAAAGCCCCAAACTTGCCCTGCACCCAAAAAAAGCCTCTAATCGCTGGAGCCTACCCGAGCGTGGGAGATCGGGCCGATTTCTGGGCCCGTGTCAGCCGTTCCTAGAATCCTGGAGCTGCCGGAAAACGACACTTTCGCAGCACACAAACTGTTCGTCATCTATCTCTCGGCCGAGGCAACAGGGCGCGCTCTGGGTCAGTTGCTTTGTCTGGTGCCCGACTGGTCCGAATGACAGCCCTTATGCCCTTCCGCCTCCAGGCAGACATACTGCCCAGGCATTTGGTCCTAGGGGCACGCCTGCTGTTTCTGAAAGGGTTTCGTTTCAGGGCTTCCTGTCTTCTAGTTTGGCATTGGTAGTGGAACCTGCAGACTCCAAGAGTCTGTGGGCTCCTGTAGGTCCAGGGCAATCTTTGCATAGTGTCATGGCTAAGCGTATTGACGGTGGCTCAGAGGCCAACGCTGAAGTACAAAGTCAAAAGCTTGGAGCACTCAGCGGTAGATTGAAGCGAAGAAGAGGGCCATCCCAGGAGAGATTCGTGCCAGCTTGGCAAACGTGGTTACCGTCGAGAACTGACTACCGTCGAGAACGGTGGCGGATGGCATGGGGCAATGCGGCTTTGGCGGTTTGACCTCCTGGGATGTTGGCAGAACCGCTTGGCGAGGCGTGGACATCCTTGGAATGAGTTGGCACCAAATTGTGGGACGGCGGTGGGGCAAAACAGACTTAAGAAACTTGAAGATGTTGCAGATTAAGGCGGCGATGATCTCACGCTGCGCTCCCTCTGCTAGAGCTAAACGGCTCTTGTCGCGTAGTTTCAGATGAGCCACAGGGCCTACAGCCATTCCTTGTGTTTTCGACAACGTGGGAGCAGCGCTCTGAATCCTTGTAGAGCCACCCACGCCTGAAATCTTCCTTCGCTCGCGTGGCTGTTTGTCATCACGTACAAAGGGTTTGGGAAAATGTACCCCGCAGGCCATGTGAATAGGCGTCAACGGAGGGGTCAGATCATGCGCCTCGGCGACTTCTGGGTGGTCTATGTGTTTAGCGGGTAGCCTCACACCAGGTCCCACGCCAGGTCCCGTCTGCGTCCTGTTGGGATCCTGTACTGCTCAGCCTGCCTCCCCCTTCTCTCACAAGCCGTGTGAGCCGAGGGTTTAGCTTTTGGAAGCTTGCGGGCGCTGTGAGATTGCCAACTGCCGAACTTGGAAATCAAAGCCAATCAATAAACGGTTGCAATTTGCGGCCCGTTCGCAAAGCTTCTCCGCACCCAAGCTGCTTTTCGAAAGATCTGCAAAATCAGTGAACCATCCGTTCAAACAGCCTTCTTTAGCACTTGCCCAGCATGCTGATAGCTTCCAAAAATTTGGGCCTGCTGCTCTAGTTTATGGAACGTGCTTGATTCTTTCACGTCCTGATGCACTAGCTCACCAACTCCTTCATGCTACATGCTACGATCCTTCGGCCACTACCTTCTGCAATTATGACACAGGTGACCATTAAATCCAGCGGCCACAAATCTTGCAGCATGAGCTCAGGGCACCTCTTGTACTCCAAGCCGCTTTCATGAATTTGCTTTTCTCTGCAGCCCTAGGGTCAAGTGAACTGCCCCCAAAGTCAAAGCTCGTGCGCCTTTTTGACTAGTGGCATTCAATGACATTGGCTCCGGTCGGATGAGTCTAATCACGTTAGCATTGTCACCGCAAACCTTCGGCTGCTGTGGCTTGCTATGCCAAGCCAGCTCATTCGACTCCGTGATCGCTGAATGAGCTGCCACGTGGACTATGTGCGCCCAAGCCCAATCCTTCATTGTGGCTCATGTACCCAACAGTACGACAAGCAGAGCACGACATGGCTTTAGTGCGAGGTGGTGTGCAAAGAGGATCTGGCAGGCACACCGAACTCATGGTTGCCCGAATGGCGTGCATCGACCCATGCTCGATGATCTCCATTGTTGTCCTGCTGGCTTTACCTTGGGCCGGCCCTTGTGCTTCATCTTTGGCGGGTCGCTTTCTTGGCCGCCTTGATTCGTGGTTTTCGGACAAAAAAAGGCCGAATAGACATATGCAACAGTGGTACGTCATCTACTAACAATCACTGCAGTACTGTAATCTCAACAATGTTGCTTCCCCGCGCCGCAGAGATACAACGCCCAAAGCCATATCCAGTTCGACCTAATGGTCTGGACTCCAGAAGAACAACTGTTCGTTTCATGTGCCTTCGGGGCCGACCTGCACAGTGTGTCTTCCGTATGCAACCCCAACTTACATCGACACGTTGCGCGGAACGCAAAGCTGCACACCACAGGTTGATGCAACACAGAGTGAGACGCATTGGCAATAACTGAAAGGTGAAACGCGGCATCTTCTGTGGTTGTCTCTTCTAAGTGGGGCAGTACGCGAGATCCATGGAGCCCTCACAGAAGCTGCTGCTTGTGGGACCTAAGTGGGACCTAAACACCTAAAAGGTTGTTGGTGCTGCCCATCCTCATCGTCGCCGAAAGGTTGGACAGAGATGCCAAGATCTGTGCCTAGCTGGGGGACACATCGGTCCGCTTCTAGACTGCACTGCATGATCTCAAAGCATCATCTCAAAGAGAAGTTGAGGAGAAACACCAGACAGGACAAGGGTTGCTTCTAAAAACTCATCATCTTGTACCGAAAGGTGCCTTGCCTGCTTCACCATCCGCGCCTTCTGGAGCGCATAGACCTGTCTTCTCGAGTGTTGTCGAATTCCGGGAACGTGAGAACCCGGAACTCCCAAGGAACCGCATAACCGCGTGCCGGAACGACACCGACACCAGGATCCAAAACTCTGACAACGTTAAAGCACAACTCCTAGCCCCTGCGAAAGCCGGCTCCCCATGTGGTAAAGTGGAGTGAGTGGAGTGAAGTAGACAAGGCCATGCCCAACCTGCGGCATGTTTCGAAGAGGTTCACCGATGGACTTCTAAGATTCTCCCGTGTCTTTACGGCTTTACGGCTTTACGGCTTCCAGTTGCAATGACGAGCGGGCGATTTGTCTTGCATGAAGCAGAGGCCGTGGAAGTCATGAGCTGTTACTGCTAAGGCTTTGGACGTCTCTGCTCCACGGCTCCACGAAGTCCGCCATGCAGGTTAGGTTTTGCCACTGGTCCCGCTAAGCGTGAACTGCCAGGGGCCTCTTTCTGAACTATTCCAGAGCTCGTCAGTAGTCAGGTGTTTGGTATTGGGGCAGTCACGCGAACGTTCAGGCGAAATGCAACCACAATAGAGGCTGCTACGCTGCTATGAAATTCCGTCAAGACTCGGCCGAATTCAACAACAGCAGCGCAATGTGAAAGCTTTTGATTTTGATTGATTTTGCGCACGTGCAAGAACTTTAGCTTACTGTCTCGGAGCCTCTGTGACTCATCATCGCTTTCTTGTCATCACTATTTGAAACTTCCAGCAACCCTTGTGAAGTCTGCATTGTGATTTACGGAAGACAAATCTGCAGAGGTCGCTGCAGAAAACACCAACTGCAAGCTGATCGCTGGTCACAGCCCCTAGCCTCTGCCCGTCGGACGCGGATCGTCAGGTCTTGCGCGCTTTTCAACTCCTCTTTCATTGAGTGCGCATCGCCCTCAACAGAGTTCACCTCCGAACGGACAGCATGGACGTGAAATGACGGGAGATGACGTGACAGAGACATGAGCGGGCGCTAAGAACTTTGCAGTGCGTAGGCATTGTGAGGCCAGGGCCCGGATGATGCGCATGCCCAAGGTGACCACATAGTGAAACCTCTGCTCGGCGGCCTAGGAATTCAGGTCACGGGCACACTCAGCGCATCGAAACACTCAAGGTTGCGTTCAAAGCTTCTTGATTCGCATTGCAGCTTGGTTGGCATTTATGCGTTTCTATTGTGAGCAGCAAAGTGGTGGGATGCGGCACTGTCCGGCTTCGCAGTCACATCATGTCTCCGGAGCGATTCTTGCTTGCCTTTTTGCAAAATGCCGAGTCTTCTTTTGCTGGTTTGCGGTGCAAATGTTGCTGCTTGTGTCGGTGAGCGCGATTCCTTCGTTTGTGTATTTGCTCGTTTCTGTTGTTGTGGGTGCCAACTGTGCTCACACTTGCTGCACTCGTTTGGTGTCTGTGTGAACCGCAACAAGAACTGGAAGCAACAGAAAATCGGTTTCCTTGCCCTCAAGAGTGGGACGTGCTCAACTTCCAGAGACACCAGTGTGTTAGCTGCGGAAACATCCACCCAGCAGATCTCCGCGAGTACTTTGTCCGTGATGACAAAGAGATTTGTTGGCAAAGGCCATGCTACATTACTATTACATTACCCTCTGCTGTAGAAAAGGTGAGATTTTTGCTGTCAGCTGTCGTCCTCTCCTAGAGCCGGAGTCGACCGTCCGTGATGGCCCTTCAGGGTCCGTTCACTGCAAAAGAACGAGGCTTGCGGAGCTTGGGGTGCAGCCATGAGCTGATTTCGGTCAGGCACATAGCCTTCGTGACCCACCTGGCGTCACCATCCGAGGCTTCGGACATGCAAAATGCATTCAGCAAGTGAAGATGTGAAGGCCCCCGACATCATCACCTTCGCTCATGCACAGGAGCCTCCGTGATTTTGAGGTCGCGGGCCTTTTCATTGCTTGGCTTTTCAAACCTGCAGCATGAGCGATTGCCATGGGTCCAGCCGTATCTTGAAGCACGAATTTGCACGCTGCGCGAATTCTTGCGCATATTCGTCGACCCCACGGAGGAGCGGCACCCAAGGCTTTGTCTTCGTTCTCTTCATACTCTCCCCCATCTCTCTATCCGCAGCCTCCCAAGCCTGCTGCACCCTCTGACCCTCCGAAACTTCGGAACTTCCTCTTCGTGACTAAGGAGGAATGATGTTCGAAGAGTGGCTGAAGAAGGGCAAGGTTCGGAAGGGCTGAAGGCTGGGAGAGGGTTTCGACTCTCACGCTAGCGGAACGCGGGCGAGGACTCTGGTTCGAGTGGCAAGACGTGAGACAGAACGGTTTACTGGCAGCTCAGCTCAACCCATCCCACCTCAAATGCCTACCATACAAATCACTCCGTATCCCGGAACCCAGCCAAACTAGAGAGGGTGGGGAGAGGGTGGGGAGAGGGTGGGGAGTGGGGTGGGGAGAGGGTGGGGAGAGGGTGGGGAGAGGGTGGGGGCAGGGTGGGGAGAGGGTGGGGAGAGGGTGGGGAGAGGGTGGGGAGGGGGCGGAGATGCCAAAGGAAGTTTGGGGGGAGGGTCCGGAGACCCTATTTGCTGTTCTTTGTTGAACGTGGCTTCCGTATTGTATATCTATACATATATATATATATATATATGTATGTATGCTTGCTCCCTATATACAAAACGACGCCCTTTGCGTTCGAGCTGAAAACATTTACATGTCTTCTTTGGCATGACATTCCTGAGGGCGCCGCTTGAATCCCAACTTCTTGCTGGCATCTTCTTTCTTGGAAAGAGACACCTCAAACCTCGGACATTACAGTACTTCATCGCTTGCACAGGGGACAGCATATCAGAATCCAGGGAGAAGCGATACTCACGCGTGCCGAGGCCTTGGCTCCTCTGGGTATCGCAGGACCTCTATGCAAACCTTGCTCCTGGCAAGTTCGGCCGCACGTCTGACTTCAACAAGCTCATTTTCACAGTTGCGACCCGTACCAAAAAAACAACTTGGCATCTGTGAGCATCTGGGAGCATCTGGGATTCTGGCATCCGCAGCTCCTCAAGGCAAGAAGGACATGACAGAACATGTGTACCGACCATCAGCCCGCGAACCAAGCGCCAAAAGCCAACTGCGCGCGCATCCTGAGCCATGGCATCCGCGGTCGTTTGGCCATTGACTTTGCAAATTCTGTCACCTCTTCAACGGACCATCTGCAAACATGCCGATAAGTCTGTGAAAAGTTACCAGCACATACGAGGGACTTGGCAGAGACAAGCAACGCAGGAGCGCACCCTGATCTACAAACGGTGTTCCAGCCAGATATCTTTGCTCACTTGCTTAGAGGGGTTGCTGCGGCGTCAAAAGTCTTTCTCTTGATTGGTATACAACATTGTGGCATGTTCTTCACTCACACTGTACGGCGCATACGATTCGCTTTATGTGGGAGGGCTCACAGTGGCAAAGCCGCTTGCTTCACGGACAATGAGTACAACACCCACATGTTCGCCGAAAGCAGTACCAGCACCGAAGCCAAGCCAAGCAGATTCTTTGCCATCATGATCCACCACCATCGATTGTCCACATGTCTATGGCTGCGAGGTGGCTCAGGACATAATTTCAGGGGTAGAGTAGAACAAACAACTACATGGTACATGTTGCGATCTAATGTGATTTGGTGCTGGCAAGCGTCGATTGTGCACAAACTTGCACAAACCTTGCTTTGTAATGAAGTGCTGTCCCCTTTGCCACCTACTTGGGGTGCGGGGCTCTGCCCGCAATATTCTAAGTTCTAAATCAGTGATGGAGAATTCCCGAAAACAAGTAGCAATACCTCCCCCCACCCCAACAGCCTGGCTGAACGACGGCATCTGGATGAGCCTGCTCAAAAGATGAAGAAAAGCATCGGCAACCTATTCAGGACACCTATCTGGACGTATGTACGACACCCAAAAACCCTCACACACTTCGTCCCTGAAACGCCACACCTCGTTCCACAAGAAGAGCAGTCCGTCGCCAGCCACCTTGCGTAGGAAGAGGACCTGGCGTTTCACGAAGATTTCACTGACGAAGGTAAGAAGTGAGAAGAGTGCCACACAAATCATCCACCGCACCTCTGGGCCTGGAACATCCGTGGCGTTTTCTGAAAAACCCAGTGCCTGTTGCAAGGCTGCAGGACATGTGCAATGCTTGGGAAATCTTGGGAAATCTTGGGAAATCTTGGGAAATCTTCGAACCTTGTAGTACTCCCGCTTGCCACTGCAATGTGAGAAGCCGAACTTGTCGGCGTCAGACCTGTGCTTCCGAACGCTTTACTTTTAAGAAAGGCTCTCCGCTTCACCAAGCCCGGGACCGCTTCTCCAGCACGCACTCCCATATCTGACAGCCCTTAGCTTGGAGCGGCTGCAGCTTGACAATGCTTATCAGACTTATCAGACTTATCAGACCTATCAGACCTATCAGACCTATCGGACCTATCATGAACCAAAGTCAGAAAATCAAGCGACAATCCCTGAACAGCACTTGTTTTGTGCTGCCACGTGGCATCCCAAGTCCGCTTCCAAACTGGCTGGGCTGCCTGAAACCGAGCCGACTCGAGACTTAGAGGAGAGTCTCGCGACAAGATCGTCTGAAACCAACTCTTCAAGGACCAAAGAAGGCCCCACCAACGGGCACCAACGGGCACCAAAGGCCTCCAACTCAGCTGACCGAGACACCAATGGCACCAGGGACTGCCAGGCAGAGATTCACAACATTCAAATCTGTCATTCTAGCAAAACATAGCAGCTAGCAATCTAGCATGGCTTGCTTGGGGTCTTCCTAAGGAATGGAACAGCCTGGAAATGATGGCGAAGCTGATGTCACCATGCTCTTGCCAGGCTTGCATGAAAGCATACCGACATCATCGACATCTGAATCTAAGACGCACATTCCAGTGGCACCATCGCAACCAGCGCAACAAACAATCGAACGGCAGAATTTCCGGCCTTCAACGTCGAAGTCATTTGAACAGGTGGAGTCGCAGGTCTTGCCTGTTAAGGGTAGAGGGGCTGAAAAACAGTTGCGACACAGCTTCTTCCATGGTGAGAATTCGGGAGCCCAGGCGAACTTCTAGAAAGAGAGGCACTGCTTTTGCAGATTGATATGAAAAAGAGCAACGAAAGGGGAAAGCGAAAAAAGAACGAAGAGAGCGAATTTTGCGTGTGGTGAACGTGGCAGAGGCCTCAGCCTCCAAGCGGGCTTTTTCCGCTTCCTCCTCCTGCGCGACACACGAAAAGGCGGTTTTTGATGGTTTTTGCAGCCATCGTCGGCAGATTCTTCTCTTTCGATAGGGCTTGTTAGACGTTTGTAGAGTTCTTCTGTTGCAAAAACGGCAGAGGCTGTTCGCACCTTGCGTCGCCTCTCTTCCTCAAGTCGCACCCTCTCCTGCACGCAGCGCGAGATACCAGACTGATGCACTGCGATTTCGATATGCCAGACGCCACAAGCGCCAGGAGTCATGTTGAGAGCAGTGTTTGCCGAAGCCCGTCTTGTTTTCAAGAGCACCACTCTAAGCGCCTACTGCACGTGCAGCGAAACTGCCTCTTCCTCCGCCTGGGCTTTCGCGAGCGCAGCTTTCTCCTGTGCCCGAGGCGCAGGCATGTACACAATGGGGCCACGCGCACACAGCACACACGTGTGTCTTGAAAAGCAGAGAGCCGAATTCGCACGCTTCGTTTCTTCACCCGCTTGCTGCAGGCTGCGGCTGACCGGTCTGACCGACAGGAACCCGTCTGCGGTGCCTCTTGTCTTTGCCTCTCTTCCTCCTGGCGCGCTCTCTCCTGCATTCTGCTCGGAGTCCGACATGCGAACGTCGTCGAAAGTCGCTTCTATGAGACAGGTGACTCTTGCTGGTGAAAGTGCAGCCAACGTCTCAGAACTGCCCAGACTGCCTCTGCTTCTGCGCGGGCCGCCTGGAGTGCCTCTTCTTCCTGCTCAAAGGCTGGTCGAACAGACAGCGGCCATACAGCGGCGACAGCAAAGCTCAACAAGGGTGCCACACCGCATTCGTGCCTCGCGTCGCCTCTCTTCCTCCAGTCGCGCCCTTTCCTGCCAGACAGCACAGGAGTCATGTTGAGAGCATTGTGCCAAAGGTCGTTTCGAAGCGCACCACACGCAGCGCCTAGACCGCAAGCTGGCAACCCGCCTCCTCCTCAGCCTGGGCTTTCTCGAGTGCAGCTTTTTCCTGTGCACGGGCTCCAGGCATGCACACAGAAACCATGTACAATCTTCAAAGCATGACACACCAGGCTGCCTCAAACTACGCACGTGTTCTTCGCCAAGCTCCAGCCTCCGCCTCTGCGCGAGCCTTCTCCAGAGCCGCTTCCTCCTGGAGCAACACAGCTAAGAAAAGCAGCACCGCAAAACAGCATTGCCGGGCGGGCTACTGAAAAGATCCACCACACTGCCGCCGAGCGGTCTGCCCACTGTCTGCCCGGCTGCCCGACCACCCCGTCTGCGGCACCTCTTGTCTTTGCCTCTCTTCCTCCTCCACGCGTGCACTCTCCTGCATGCTGCTTTGACACGCAGACACAGCACGCGCATTTGCAGGCTGGCATGCGGCATGTGCATCCAGTTTTATGGGTGTCCCGTTTTGCATGCGGACAGGTCACTCTTGCTGCTGAAAGTGCACCCAACGTCTCAGAACTGCCCCAGACTGCCTCTGCTTCTGCGCGGGCCGCCTGGAGTGCCTCTTCTTCCTGCTCAAAGGCTGGTCGGACAGACAGCGGCCATACAGCGGCGACAGCAAAGCTCAACAAGGGTGCCACACCGCATTCGTGCCTCGCGTCGCCTTTCTTCCTCCAGTCGCGCCCTTTCCTGCCAGACAGCACAGAAGTCATGTTGAGAGCATTGTGCCAAAGGTCGTTTCGAAGCGCACCACTCGCAGCGCCTAGACCGCAAGCTGGCAACCCGCCTCCTCCTCAGCCTGGGCTTTCTCGAGTGCAGCTTTTTCCTGTGCACGGGCTCCAGGCATGCACACAGAAACCATGTACAATCTTCAAAGCATGACACACCAGGCTGCCTCAAACTACGCACGTGTTCTTCGCCAAGCTCCAGCCTCCGCCTCTGCGCGAGCCTTCTCCAGAGCCGCTTCCTCCTGGAGCAACACAGCTAAGAAAAGCAGCACCGCAAAACAGCATTGCCGGGCGGGCTACTGACAAGATCCACCACACTGCCGCCGAGCGGTCTGCCCACTGTCTGCCCGGCTGCCCGACCACCCCGTCTGCGGCACCTCTTGTCTTTGCCTCTCTTCCTCCTCCACGCGTGCACTCTCCTGCATGCTGCTTTGACACGCAGACACAGCACGCGCATTTGCAGGCTGACATGCGGCATGTGCATCCAGTTTTATGGGTGTCCCGTTTTGCATGCGGACAGGTCACTCTTGCTGCTGAAAGTGCAGCCAACGTCTCAGAACTGCCCAGACTGCCTCTGCTTCTGCGCGGGCCGCCTGGAGTGCCTCTTCTTCCTGCTCAAAGGCTGGTCGGACAGACAGCGGCCATACAGCGGCGACAGCAAAGCTCAACAAGAGTGCCACACCGCATTCGTGCCTCGCGTCGCCTTTCTTCCTCCAGTCGCGCCCTTTCCTGCCAGACAGCACAGAAGTCATGTTGAGAGCATTGTGCCAAAGGTCGTTTCGAAGCGCACCACACGCAGCGCCTAGACCGCAAGCTGGCAACCCGCCTCCTCCTCAGCCTGGGCTTTCTCGAGTGCAGCTTTTTCCTGTGCACGGGCTCCAGGCATGCACACAGAAACCATGTACAATCTTCTAAGCATGACACACCAGGCTTCCTCAAACTACGCACGTGTTCTTCGCCAAGCTCCAGCCTCCGCCTC